ATATATATATATATATATATATATATATATATTAAATGACTTATGTTTAGAGGGTGTTCGTATGCATGTGCACATCCATATATGTGCATGTTGGCGTGCTCGTGTCAAAGCATGTATTGTCGTTTTCCTTTTGTGAATTTCTCCTTACCTTGTTATTGAGCATGGGAGAGGGCTTTAATATATGCCGCAATTTATTGGTCTTAATTTTATTTTGGGGTCAATTGGCTTAATTTTTTTTGGGGTCAATTGGCCTATGCCATGACCCATTCAAAGGCTAACCTCATGGCATGCATATTTAGGTCAACATATGCCTCTCAATAAATATAAAGCATGTTCGACACATTATGTGCTTTGTCTATTAAAGGTTTATGTGAATTAATGTATTGATATTCATCCCATTTTCTTTTTACCAAGAAATATTCTATTGTAGGTAATTAACAAAGCTGTTATTAATGACCCCAATGAAGATGCTTGCTTAGCTCTCATTGATAAATACTGTCTATATGCAACATGTAATGATTGACATTAGTGACTTTGGATTAACGTAAAAAAATGTTAAGAAGTCATGACCTTTATCCACACAATCCTTTATACTTACTGATGCGAGAGCTCTTGCGCCTCACATCCTGTGATCTCACAATCGTGAGATAGAAGCGGGACTAAATTCTATCCCACTACAATCCTGTTTTCTCGCCCCTTAGCTGTTTTATCAATTTGAGGCCCTTTTTCTTTTAGTTTTAATATTAATTCTTTTTCTTAATAGTGTTATTTGTAATTATGGGTGATCTATCGTTCATAGTCATGTTGATATAGATGGGGATGTTATTTGTAGAATTCAAGTTGGTTGGTTGAACTGGAGGAATGCTTCAAGCCTATTTTGTGATAGAAAAATGCTGCTTAGACTGAAATTTTTATAAAATGGTGGTGAGACCTGCAATGCTCTGTTGCGCAGAATGTTGGCTTTTAAAAGAGAAGCATAAAATTAAGTTAAGTGTTGTCGAGATGAGCATTAATAGGTGGATGAGTGGCTTTACGCGTAGAGACAAGAGGCGAAATGAATATATTCGTGATAGGGTTGGTGTGGCTTCAGTGGCGGAAAAAAAATTGAGAAAGTCTACAGAGATATTTTGGTCACATTAAACATCGACCACCTGATGATCTGGTTAGGAGAGTAGATGTTTTAGATTTGACTTATGTTAAGAA